TAAGATTTTTTTTTTTTTTTTTTTTTTTTTTGAGACGGAGTCTCTCTCTGTCTCTCAGGCTGGAGTGCAGTGGCGCCATCTCAGCCCACTGCAAGCTCCGCCTTCCGGGTTCACACCATTCTCCTGTCTCAGCCTCCCCAGTAGCTGGGACTACAGGCGCCGGCCACCACGCCTGGCCAATTTTTTTTTTTTTTTTTTTTTTTTTAGTAGAGATGGGGTTTCACTGTGTTAGCCAGGATGGTCTCGATCTCCTGACCTCGTGATCTACCCACCTCAGCTTCCCAAAGTGCTGGGATTACAAGTTTGAGCCACCGTGCCTGGCAAGAATTTCTGGAATTTTTAACAAAGAGAAAGGAAAGGATAAGCATCTGATTAAGGTTAAAGGGTACAAAGTCTTCAGATGAGAGAAGAGACCTAATTCGAAAGGTCCCAGACCTACAATCCCAGCACTTTTGGAGCCTGAGAAGCTCAAGACCAGCCTGGGCAACACAGCACAACTCCTCTACAGAAAATTTTAAAAATTAGCCTTGGAGCGTGGCATGGGCTTTGAAGGACGCGTGGGATTTTGTTTTGTGTGGAGAACTTGTCTCCTGGGCTGAAGAAAACAGCATAGACATTCACATCCTATAGAACAACTCATTTGATTCTTGTATCAAAGGCCATGGTGGTTGTCATTTCCTCCCTTCTGGAGGGAGGCAACAGGCCCAGAGAGTTAAGCAACTCATGCCCAGCGATGATTTGGTACAGACTGGGTACCGGAGGCCAGTTGTCTGGGTGGCAGGCCCCTGTCGCCCACTCCAAAGGAACAGGTTTAAGCACACCTGACTCTTCCCATTGGTTTGTCCCTCAGCGTTTATGCTCATTGGCTCAGCAGTGAGTTATTTGTATGCTTTAACATCTGGACAATTTCCTGGGTTTATAAAATATTAAATAATAGTACTGGAATCTACACATTCAGCAAACTCCCATTTACTTACCTTGTTGTCATTGTTGGTTTTTACATATTGTGTGACAGGCACGCCACCTGCAAAGGAAATAAGAATAAAATTGTCTGGGTCTTGGCTTTGCTTTGGCTTAAATCACACCCTCAGAGGTGAGGAGAGGCTAGAGGCTGAGGAATATGTGGAATGTGAAGCTTCCACCGAGAGTACACACCTCCGTTTAGGGTATGCACCTAGGGTAAGAGGGGCAGTGGGAACCACAGGCTCTGGCGTCAGTGTGACCCCTGGGTTTAAATCCCAGGCATGATATATCCTGGCTCTGTGACCTTGGTCAGCTTACTTAACATTCATAAGGGATGACCTTGGGCCACTTACTCAACAACTTTTCTTGGCCTTGTGAGAACCAGTGGTGATCATGGGTTTATACTGGCTGTGTCACATGGAAAGTGGTCAAAGATGGTTGATGCCCTTTCTTGTCCTGAGTCATTCTGGCCCTCAAAAATGATCCCCAAATTTTTCTTTCTGCAGACTCACACCAGCAGAGCTAGTAGTGCAGGAAGGATTCCTGCAGGTGACGCATCTTAATATGTGAGATCAGTTAGGTTTGTCTTCAAGAAACCTGGACCCAATTCTAATCTTCACCTGCTCCTGGCCTAGCTCTCTTAACCCACATCAGCCGAAGTTCTTCATGCTCCTCCCCTCCCTACCCTGCTGCCCCACCTAACGTTGCCTCCTCTGGGCAGTGCCTGGGATTTTGCATTGCTGCTGCCTGCCCACCCAAACTTATCTCCTGTTTTTCACATCCTCAGTGCCTGGCTCTCTGCTCTACCTCCAGTCTAATAAACTGTCATTAACATATAAGACATTCTTCTGATTCTCTCCTCCAACTCTGACACTTTTGTCTTCTTATTGACAGCGCTCTTCAGTGGCCTCTGATGATGGGCATTTCAGGCTGCTATGGGGATCTTTGCTTGAGAGGAAGGCCTTGTAGTTGCCTCAGACCAGAGTTCCCCCAGGTGGGAGGCTTGGGGCTTATGTGGCCCATTGTCTGTTGTTCCTCCTCTGCTCTGGGATTGATTTCATGCCCAACCTGCAGGCTTCTGTCGGAAGAGCTGCTAGGTGCAGAGTGAAGGAACTGGAGATTCCTGAAGCAAATGATGCTGGCATTGGTTTAATTGTGACCGATTTTGCGGGGCCAGGAGTTGCGCCTGTCTGCCTAGAAATGAAAAGTCAGAATGTTTTGCTTTGTTTTAAGGAGTTGCTTCTCCTCATTCACACTTGCCTAAGATAGCAGCAAAAAGTACTAGTTCTCCTTTCTTCCCATGATTTCTCTCCACCCACCCCCATAGCCGTAGCCATTCCAGGGAAAAGTTACTAATCAGTACACACATTGACTGAAGGCCTAGTGGGAGCTTACCAAGGTGGTGGGTGAGAGAAGCTACCTACCTTCAGGAGCTGAGACCAGGCTGATGCCCAGCAGATAATAGGAAAATGAATGAAGTGCCCCCACCGTGTGAAAGTGATGTCAAATGAACTAAGAGTTCCCAGTCAGCTACAAGGGTCAGAGAAGGCTTCTGGGAGGAAGGCAGGGCTATATCCGCTTATTACTTCCCACTGGGAGAAGGTCAGCAGTGGCCAAATTTCCTGTTATGTGGTGTTGACCTGGGAGGCATTGCAGAACTAGTGACTTACTGTGGGAGCTAGAAAATGGCTTCATCATGCAGTTTGGAGGCCACTGACCCCCCAGAAGGAAGGAAGTTGCTAGTCTAGTGTCTACGCTCTGTAACCGTGGTGTTGGCCTGGAGAGATAACAGCTTGATAGAACCAGGTGAAATTTCACCCATGCCTCATCTCACCTTCCACTATACAACCCCAAAGACCAACACCTGAAAGGCACATGCAAAGTGATCCCCTAAGGTTGAAGTCAGTGGTGGAGAAGGGATGTGAATAGAGAAGATGAGCTTGAGAAAAGCAAAAGCGAAATATGAAATAAAGCAATTGAATATTTATTGGGAGCATGCTGTGCCTAAGGCATGACAAGGCACCCTGGGGAACACAGCGTGTGAAATGGGGTCCTGGGTCCCACCTGCCCCTCTCCTGCTGTGTGACATTTCCTGTCTCTGGGCCTCAGTTTCCACACCTGTAAAATGAGAAGGTTGGCTTTGATGATCTCTAAGATCTTCTCCACACCTGAAATTCTCCCTTCAAGAATGTTACAATCTCACTGGCAAAAGCAGCAAGAAAATTAAGTAGCCAAAAAGATGAATTTTAAGCTGTTTAATTCCAGCAGGAATTAAACATTAAAAATTAAGGTTTGTAATATTTGTTAAACAAAGCCCTGAAGTCTATGAGGGAATATAAAACAAGCAGATTTCCTTTTGCAAGATTTAAGGACATGGACTGATTCAATGTCAGCCCGTGAGTCATCAGACATTCCTCAAGTCTCCCAGAGTTCAAGGTCAGACCTCATAAGTCAGTGGCATGAGCACCACAGCCTTGTTCATGGTGAAGGCCTGGGCAAAGATACACCCCACGTCTCTGCAAGAGATAAGTTTCCTTGTTTGCCAGTCTACACTCTTAAAAAATGGGAGGGGCAGGCAATGCTAATCAGACCACAGGTATACACCTGATCTAAGGGAACTTGGGCTAGGCTGGACTTGAGTAGACGTGGCTCCATCAGAGGAACTGAGCCAATCAGAATTCCTCTCGTAAGAATCTGAAGTAAGAGGCTGAGAAACCTCTCTCTGCTCATTGGTGATGGCTGCTTAGGTGAAGGCTTGTGTTTTAGGTAGGTTGGGTGGAAGATAGGTAAGCAGAGGGAGTGAGTGGAGGTGGGGAAGAAGAGGGAGAGGGAAAGACGATGTTTAGAGTAGAGTTCCTTACCT